AATGTGTCATCCAAAAACTGTGCTGCCTGAGAAATCATTTATATCAGATACAAATCGATGTGATCTATCGATTGGTACCAAATACAATACAGTTCATCACCAGCGAAGAAATCTAGGTGAAGAGTGTGCAGTATGGATACGGGTATTTTTTTCCAACTTCACGCCGATATCTATCCAGAAACCCACATCTACGTCGACACCCTACGCTTCATTTCGATTTTGATGAAGGCATTTTCAAAAAGTCGCTTTATCCAACACTTTAGTGTTTTCTTTGTTTCAGAAGCCTGTCCTTGCTTTTGAAGGATTTGAAACATTCTTCGATTCGATATAAAAGTCAGAAGTGTAGCAATGCCCTGAAATCTTTATTTGTCGAGTTTCCCAAAATGAATTTTGTTTAGACTTTACCAATACTTATGCGCTTTACTGGCTATACTACATGCATATCTACATTCGAGGACTAAACTGGAATAAATGCAATAAAATAAAGCCATTTGAGAAATTAAAAAAAACTCGTTTTACCAATAATCGGTAAAATACTTTTTATCAGTTATTTCAACAAAAATAAAAGATTTATCGTGTTTCCTTTTAACTTTGCTACATTAACACCCGCCCTGACGTATTAGAAAAGAATAAGAAAATAATATTTGTAATTGTCTGATTTACATACAAAACTTATACTCACTCTATAAGCAAAAACCTTTGTTTCACTATTTGATAAAACGAATGAGCGAGGCAAGTAATTCGATAATCAAAATCATGTGCTGTTCCCTTATTTTTAGCAGCAATGTTGTCGATAGTCATAGTAACTATTTTCTCAGGTTGAATAAAAATACGATCCAGTTCGTATTAAATATATCGTTTAATGATTGATGCAAAATGATGACCCACCAGTCAACGACAACCAAGAACAGTATGTAAACATTCATAATATGCAGTACAATTATGTTCTGTTAGACTAATATAATGAATACGTTGTGAACTTTTCCAGATGTCAGATGTTAAAGCAAGAAAATCTATATTAGACATTATCAAATGAAGTTCATTTGCATATATAGACTATAATTTATTAATGTGCTTGCGAACCATTTTTCGGTTTGGTGCTTTATATCCCGAAATATCAACGTTCCAGGGTTACGGAACGATAATCCATCAAGAATGATACAATTAATTACTGCAGCATGAAGTTCGTTTTTATGTTCAATTGAAAGAGGTGCATGTGATGATTCAATTTCCAGATGTATTTTTGATGAAAACCGAACATTTGGAATTTTATGCAAAATACTTGATAAATACTTCCGAATATTAGTATCGCTAGTATGACAAGCTTGATAAACCTATTGAAAAAAGCAAAGAATGAATGAAATCGTACTTTTTTGCAAGGTTTTCGATTTACTCTATACTTCATACATATTTTTTTTTCTTCTTGCAAAAATATGACATCATTATGAAGCGCAAATTTCATTCTATATTAAGGCTTGTTGATTGCAAATTGGAACTCAACAAGAGCAGTTTTTTTTTGTCGACAACCACATACACAATTTTCTCAGTATATTCCTTTTATGACGCATGGTTTAAAAGGAATGTTGAAGTACATAGGGGTAGAAATTTGGACTCAGTCTCCCTCTCCCATAGACCATGATAAACAACTTCGCAACCCATCACAGACTGTGGCAAGTACCTTGGCGAGCTATTGCACACAGTGATATACATTGTTGATGTACCGTCACAGGTGATATATCAGTAACGGTTTTTTTGGCTCATATTAACTATTTCAGTGTTGCATTTCTGGAGGACTTCGTTGAAGGAGGCTGAAGAAGAATGTTCCAAAATGTATAAAATAAAACAATATCCCTAAAATTAAAAACAAAAGATACATGGTGTTTCATATTTGAATTCGGCACAGATTGCGCTAATGGCTTCTTCGATCGGTTCTTAGGAAAACTGCATTCAATAGTACACATGTGTTCTCAATGTGAAAACTTAACCATACAACTTTTTTCCCAAGATAGTTGTTTCTCGAACTCTAAAATATTAATCATTGCAGATAAGTCATCAACAAGCAGGGTATTCGCATTAAAAAAGAGCTTAACTTCGGGTTTCATTTTATGAAATGTATCATTTTTCAATCGGAGGAATCTAGCATTGTTATATTAATCAATTGGTAACTGAGGTATGATGTACATTAAATTATGAAATTTATTTTAGATCTTTCCTTAAAAACGATTATGTGGAAAACGAAAATAGTTCATACTCGTTATTGTATAAGTCGAGACCGTTCAAGAAATTATGAATCAGCGACGAACCCATATCATACAGTCAATAAAGGATAAAGAGAATCGCAAAAGAAAGGTTTGAAGATATCTTTGAATATTCAGTTTTAAGATTCAGAATCTTTTCGTGTTTTAAAGATAAAAATAAAAAGGAGTTTCATTTATGTGAAAAGAGTTTAATAAAATGAAATTTTTTTTCATTGCTTATATCACTAACAATATTTTATTTATTCTAATTTAAATTCAAAAATGGAAATATATTCTCAGAACAATTTAGATTTTATTATACATTTTGTATACTTCAAACATAAACTAACAATGTATTAGGCGAAGTATGGTTTAGACGGATCCATAAATTTATAGTCCAATGATTGGTTTACGTAGGAAAGAAGATGTTCAAACGATCAGTTTAACTTTGTACCCCATTTAATTATTTGCTAATATGACTGAAATTTCAAACATGAACAGTTTCAATTCGATAGCAATAGCAATGAACTATCTCATTCAATTTTCAGGATGTTCAACTATTCCCATGCACTCAAATAAATGCTAAAAACGGTGTTTCGACGCGTTCAGACAAAAAAATGGAGAAAAAAACGCTATATAATTGGTTGATATGATGTATCAAAAGATGCAACTCGTTAAAACGAGTTTGTCTTGGTGTAAACAGGTTTTAACGCATTTAGTAGACAAAAATGATGATTTGATGCGTTTTGATGCAGGTATCAATTCGTTTTAATGAATTTGTATGTACGAAACAGAATCAATAAACGATTTCTTGTTGAAATCCGGTTTTATTCTCATTTTTCCAATAATAATACGTTTCAGTGATTAGATGAGAAATGTTGCAACTTTATTAGAATAAAAGCGTTAATTATCTTGTTAAACAGAAAGACCAGAAATGTTTATGTACTAGAATGCAGATTAGGAAATTGGAAGAAAAACATTGACTTAACAAGAGGAGGAAAGTTCAAATCTGTGCCATATCTGAAGGCAAGTTTTTGGATCAAACATTTGTAATGAATAGCTTCGATTGATGATCCATGCGATGTACCATAGAGTACATTTGTGCACCTGTATATACGATCATTTATCGACAATGTATCGGCTGTTGAGTATAAGATGACAGGTCGAATGACAAGAGAGAATTCATTATTATCGATGAAATGGATGATGGCTTGTAAAAATCCCACTGCTGGAACATCATTCAAATCATATAGAATACAACCATCATGTGTTGAGCGATGAATGTTGATAGGATCAGCTGAGTAACGCTGACGATCGACAAAAATAGTTTTGTATAGCACATATGATCGAGCACCAACAAACTTAAAAATAAAATCCGACACATCTGTTGCAAGAGAAGTTATAGAGATTTTTGTATGCGTTCGAGTCTTATGATGATGTTGAAAATCTGATAAATAAGACGGTATTGAATAGCGCATGTTACAATGAATTTGATAATCAAAAAGTTGCATCTCAGGAGGAAAAGAAGGATCAGTTGTTGCCAACCATGTTTGTTGAAGGAGATCTATATTGTTTAATAATTCAACTGTCGGTTTGTTACCATTATGTACTGTTCTTGTTAATGCGGCTGTATAAAAAAAATTATATAGATACGAGTGCAAGGGGGAAACAGCGGACTTGAAGTAGAAAAGTACGTCAAAGTATACTACTTGAAGTAGCTCAAAGTATCACTCAAGTAGCACAAAGTTAGAACAAGTAACTTGAGATAACTTCAAGTAAATGCAAAGTTGAAAAGTACGTAAAAATAAACTACTTGAAGTAGTTTTAAGTACTTCGAAGTAGCTTAAAGTAGCTCAAGTAATTTCAAGTTCAAAAGTCCGCTGTTTCCCCCTTGTACGAGCGTGTAAATAGCGAAATGTTGCTTTTGAGAAAACACTCTAGCGGTGTAGGCAGAAAATACAAAAGATAGGAGGTTTCGCATTCTCGAGATAGTTTTATTTAATATTTGATTGTCATTTTTTATCGCTTCATCATATTTTATGACGAAACCTACAACACTCACCAACAGCTGATTCGAATTCAAAAGTGGAATAATTGTGACTGGGACCATAATTTCGAACACTTTGTACAAAGTGACTGAGTGCATGAATAACTGGTTTTGCTTGTCGTTTCTAGAATAATACGATAAGTCAGTCGCCATTTACTTTTTGATTAGGACAACATGAAAGAAGTTTTCTATAAATTTATGAAAGAGAAAAGGTAAAAATGGCAGATATACTGTGTATAAAGATTCGAAGCGTTTGTCAAATTCTTCAAGAAGATCCAACATTTCAAGATATGTCGATTGATCATGTTTTGCTGCTTCAATTAAATGAGCAGCAAATGCCAGACACCGAAAATGATTGTATCTTTCTTTTGTAAGAATACCATTGAATATTCTATAAGAAAATAAAATATATCATGATGAAATAAATTACAATAATATGAGAAATGCTTACGAGTAACCGAATAGTAAAAAGATTTTGAGTTCATTTGCTTTAAAAATGGAGTAGTGTTTCAAATCTCTAGGTATTCGATATGTTGAAGATGGATAAAACATTGAATTAAATGTTAAAGCGACTGTATCAATATCTTTTTTTACGCTCATTTCTTCAGATATACCAGATTTTTTGGATACATTTCCCAAGAAGATTTGTAACATTCGTGACTTAATATACAATACATTCAATTAAGTGATTAAATATATAGTCAATTACAAATTACTTACTGTAACGCCTTCATATAAAGTATGAAGTGTATCAGATGTGAACGACTGATATACATCGAAATGCTTCAAAGATCGAAGTGCACATGGACCTCGTAATCCATCTAAACCATTATTGATTGAATTAACAGAGCCACGTCTTCGTCTACCTAATGATTGCTATGCAACATAATATGCAAAAAATAGAAAAGTATCAAAATTTCTTAGTCAGACTTACTTCGAGTAATCGAATAGCTTCATCATATGAATCATTAGAACGTAATTCAACATCATTGCTGTTGTCGTACACGAATACACGAGTATGACCTTCTCCCACATTTATATTTTCACCTAAAATAGAAAGACATTGATTTATATAATAATATTTTCCGTATCTAATTATAATCTGACACTCTGTGTGTTCTAGATTATGTTTCGCTACAACTGCTCTGAATCAAGATTAATATCTAGAGTTAAATCTCCTTTTAAAATGACGTACCTATTATTTTACAATGTACACAACCAAAATAACCAGTTGCTTCAGTATGGTTTATGAGCAGTGATCTAGCAGGCATATCACAGCTTGCTGCGATTAAATAAACACGTACAGTTTTATCAATATGAGAAGGCGAATTGATTGGACAATATCGAAGACCATTATTTTCAAGATAAACAAGTTCTTTTACGAGGTCATTTAAAAAAATCTGCATCTCTTCTTTGTGTGGTTTTGATGACCCGATCGATATCATCCCAATAATTAAATTTTCTCGATTAAATCTAATAGATGGTGATAGTTCATTTATCACGAATGTAGTGATCCAAATAGATCGAGAAATAGATTTCACTACAGCACCATCAGAATTCATTAAAAGTGTAATGAAAGAATTCTGTTCGATACATAATAATTTACGATAGAATGGTGAATCAACAATATCAGTAATAATACTTTCATTATTTCTTGGTTTTATTATTAAATCTGTACGTTCGAGCACAGCTCTTATTTGTGGTTCTATATGAAGAATATGATTTATAGTTGGATTTGTAATAAACTTGTATTTGCTTATACATGTTGTAGATGACGTGCAATGAGTAGAATTCGAAGAAATTTTATGACAAGATGGGCATGAAATTAAAGATTCTCGAGCAAAAAGTGCTGCTTGATAAGGATTACTAATGAGAGAACGAACGTGACGAAAATCAGTTGGAGAACTAGGTACATGAAGAAGTTTTAATAGTTTGCAAATGTTCGATATGCATGTATTGGTCAACGAATGACGTGATTTTAAAAGCGAGAGAGCAAGTGCAATTTCTGTAGACGTCAATTGATGATCAGTACTGTTATTATTATCGTTAAATAAGTCACCATCATCTGCATCAACCCATAATTCTTCATCATCACTATCAACGAGTAGTTTCTCTTTATCATCATCTTCATCAGACTTTACAGATGAATCAAAATCTTCTATGACTTCTTCAGCGGTTTTAACTTTTTTTGAGTCAGATAAAAAGAATGATGGTCGATTTTCTTCCGACTGAACTTCACTGGTGGTGTTGTTTTCGCTACTGGACTTAGACTCAGTGACATTTGTGTGTACATCAGATATATTTAATAAACCTGATGACATGGATAAACTAAGATTATCAACTTCTTTATTATTATCTTGTTGTACTGCTTGAATAGATTCGAAAGATGGTCTTGTTAAAACTGTTTCAGAAGATTGATAAACAAGAGAACTACAAACATAAAAAATGAATGTTGATAATAGTTTCATAGAATCAAAGTAGCAAAATATTTTTACCTTATGTTGGAAACAACTGTTTCTAAAGCTATTTGTCGTTGAATACGAGCTAAACGTCGATTGTTTTGTCGCTGTGAAGAACGACGAATCGTAGCGATATTTTTACGTGAATGAAACATGATATCTGAGCGTGTAATGAGATATTATCAACAAAATATTTTAGTATTATATCAACTAATGACTTTATTATTAAGATAAAGACACCTGGGAGCAGTAAAAGCTTTTTGGATATATTAAAAAATGTTTGCATGAACATACATTTTCTTTTATCACATGTTTGCCATTTCTTTTGAAAAAAACTTCTTTACTAAGTTTGTAAAAGTTTGTAAACATTATGAATAGTTTCTGTACTTTATTTAATTAGTTATTCTTGAATATTAAACAATACACATGTACATCAAAAGAAAAGATTAAAATTGAAATGATGCACAAAAAAAAACAGAATCACACATATGACATCACATTTCTAAAATAAACAAACTACATTCTCTTCTTCTATCACAAACTTTTATACAAAAACAATAATATATACATTTAATGTATAAGAACGTTTGCGTTGTTGAAAAAAAAAAACATAATAAAAAAACCAAAAACCAAAATTTTATGTACACATGATTGATATAAATGATGATGTTGTACATTGGATAAGAAGTAAATAAAGTACAAGTACAATAAAAAAAGAAATGAGATTAATAAATAGAAAAACACTTCAAATGTTAAATATACAAAAATAGTTAAATTATAATCTTCCTTTCTATTTGCTCTCGACATCATAAACTAGAAACATTCACCAGTATCAAATCTTGTTTCTATTTCTCTCTCTCTCTCATTTGTTTGCATATTATCAATACCTGTTGAATATTCATTGATTCGATTGACACGAGCTTCATTTTGAACTCCCATATCATAATCATTTCTTCTTTCAAGAACAGTTGCTGCATGAGTTATTGAACTGCTCAACTTGCGCCATTGGTATCGGGCACCACGAATGCTGTTACTTAAACTATCACGTAATTCTTGAGTCTTGTAATTTGTACCTGGTGCCGATCGTTGAGCAAAAGCTAAATGAAACAAAAGTGATTAAATGTCATCGTTATTTGATATTAAGATGCAAATCTTAAGTCACTTACTTAACATAGTTTCTAGTAGACCAGGTTTAAGAACTTCCAGGTTATTTACAGAATCCAACTCTACTTTTGCTTCATAACCAGGATACAAATGATTAAACAGATTTAATGCTGTTTGTTGAGGAGTAACATCTTTTAAACCCATTAAAAAGATTGAACTCTCACCTAAATCACGTGCTATTTGTTCATCAGTTCGTGGATCACCACGTCCACCTGATTGTTGTATTTGGGTGACCAAATCTACGAGATAACTAAGTGCAACTGCAGGAGGACGAGCTAAAAGCACAGAGAAACATTGATAAGAAAAGAAAAAAAGAATGTCATACGAAAAGAATTTTCCTCTAATTGTTTGTAACTGGCCTGAAGACGCCCAAAATCTTTCGACCAAATTAAACATTTTTTCTTTTCGCTGTTATAAGCTTTAACTAAACGACGAAATTCAGAAAATCGAGACAAAATTTCATATGTCTCTTTCGGAATAGAATCGACAGAAAATGAATCATTGTATTCATCAAGTAAACCACCGTTATTAAGTTGATGATGATGAGATGATCGAATAGGTATTGGGATGCGGTGATTGTGATTCAAATCTTCATTTGAATCTGATCGGCGTCGATCGACCGAAACAATAATTCGAGGAGTTGACGATTGTAAACGAATATTTGATGTACATTGACGTGCTGTTGATCGATTGACGACAGGTGTTCTGAAAACATAAAAATATAGAATTTTAATATATATGAATAAAATAAGAGCTCACCGATTTTCTTCAGGTGGACGTTCTTTATTCGGCTGATCGTCACCAACAGAACGATTTTCATTAAATGGAGAACGTGTTGGATTATTTGATAAGTAATTGTATGTTTTATTAGCAGCATTTCGTTGATCACTTGGTAAACGTTCTCCAATTGGTTCAGTTCGTGGAAAATAATCGGACATTATTGAGTGTGAAGAACATGTTTCTTTATCAGTATCAATAATAAGTGGTGGTGGTGAATTCTCTTGATCATTGATGTTGTTGAGTTGATCAAGTGCAACAGGTTTCGATGCCGTAAATGTTGATACATCAGCTAAAAGCAAACTATTAATGAACCATCGAGAAAAGATATTTATTATTACCAGGATTATTGCCCACACTCTGGTCGTCAAATAATAACTTGTTCGCACATGTATTCTTGCCACGTGCTCGTTTCTTTGGTTGTAAATTTAATTCACATATATTTGTATTGGCATCTTGTATATTCATCTTACGAGTTTTTCGTTTGGTCATAATTAAGATATATTGTTTTTAATATAAATCAGAAGTTGTAAATAAAATCGATAGGCAATAATGATAATATATGATGATATCGAACAATAAAATGAATATAAAACAGTCAAAAGCGAAGAAACAGATACGTACTTATGTGTTGCATTCAGTTCGACTATTAACGATATACACAAATGTGATAAGTGGTGCTGTATTTATACTCCATCTGAGAGAGAGAAAGAAAGAACTAGATAGAAACGATATATTAGAATAAATCGTCAGACAGGGACATATCTAATATCTTTTCTTTGTACGATACGGACGAAAAGAGATATCTATTCTTTCTTGATGTGGTGCAGATGGACGAAAAGAAATATCTAGTCTTTCTTCATGAAATATAGACGGACGAGAAGAGATATCTAGTCTTTCTTCACTTAATAGAGATGGCAAAATGCAATTATATTTTTATTTAATAGAAAAAAAGAGGCAAAATGATAAGAGATATGTATCAAACACTTAACTTCAAGAACTAGGAGTCATCAATATAAAAACTCCATATTTAGTAATAATTTTTCATACGCTGATCAATCACAAAAATATATTTCTGTGATCTACTATATAATAGATAGAGCGAACATTCTTTACAAGATATTTATTCGTTCCTGTTGGTGAACGCGTTGACCAATGGCATTGATGTTCTTTGTCTCTTTGTTGCTACACTATAAAGCGGAATAGAAATACGCATTCGTTCATTTATTTTGTTTTTCATTCAATTTATACATATACCTCTCATTCATTATTAAGCGTATATGCTCATAAAAAAGCACTAGTTTGCTATTCTATTGCGTGTTGCGATAATTTTTTCTTTTATCTATATCCTATGCAGATTCATTTTTCGTTTAATGACATTCTTTAAAACAAGTGTCTTAGTTGAGTCAGAATTGATTTCGAAATAAGCAATATTATTTGATTACAAAATCATCGAAGAGTACATGTTTTCTGCTTCTCATTTTCCAGTTAAATTTCTACAGCCATTCAGATTCATGTATATCATTTCAATGACAAAAGCATTCATCGATTACAATTACTAAATTAATACAGATAAGCAATAATACATACGATAGATTGTACAAATTTTTCAACCCTTTAACAAAAAGTCTTTGCATTACTACTGAACATAATAAACAATGGAATACTATCATATCGATAGAAGAACTAACTACTAGTTGAGCCTTTTATTTTGTTGCTGTTGATTTCGTAAAAATTTTCTGGTCTATGAATATTTTTTTCATTGAAATGATATATATATATAGACTGCCGAGATACAAAGAGACATCAAATAAGAATAGTTAAGATAATAGAAGGGAAAGTTCTATTATTAGGTCCTTGATTCATTCAGTTATGTGAATAGTTCTATAGCAGAATATTGTGTAACGTACGTTTCGCTCTTTTTATTTCAATATATATTTTGAAAGAATACATGTGAAAATAATCCCATAGACTAGGACCGTGGTTAGAATTAGTGAAAAATGACTTCAACTCACAGAAATTCATATGACGAGTATTAGTAAGATTCAGTACTCTATAATAAATAACAGACCCTGTATAATATTGGTTCCTAGAAAATCAGGGATTGAAAGTAGAGTAAAGATGAGTAATTTCATTCTCTTCTGAAGAATAGATTCGTTGCCGTATGTATATCCATAATCGAGCAGCAGATATCTGATAAAAACTTAAAATATTTTGTCTTTAATGTAGCAAGAAAAATCTTATACAATAACGAAACAAGCGATGACATCTCAAATGTAGAATGAATGAGAACCTCAGCACTAAAAGAGTCATCGCTTGTTTCGTTATCGTATAAGATTTTTCTTGTTACATTAAAGACAAAATATTTTAAGTTTTTATCAGATACCTGCTGCTCGATTATGGATATGCATACAGCAACGAATCTATTCTTCAGAAGAGAATGAAATTACTCATCCTTACTCTACTTTCAATCCCTGATTTTCTAGGAATCAATACTATACAGGGTCTGTTATTTATTATAGAATACTACATTTTACTAATACTCGTAATATGAAGTTATGTGAATTGTAGTCATTTTGGATCCGTTTCATTACAATATTCTTTTCATTGAAAATATCTAAAATATTCAGTTTTAATGCGTTGAAAAAAGCAATGCAATAAACTGATCGTGTGTCAAATGCATTAGAACCCTTCTCGGGTAAACGGAATGTACACCGTCAAAAATGTCCGAAATTTGGAGTTTTGATCCGTTGTTTCTATTAACGCGGGAAACTGTGCATATATAAAACGCATTAAAATGCCATCGAAAGAAACGGAATGCACACAGCCAAAAATATCCGAAATTACGAGTTTTAATGAGTTTATTGCAAACGCGAAGAAATGTTTTTCCACAAATAGTCATAACGAGGTTGAAACATAAGAAACATGCCACCGTTAAAACGCGGAAATTCGGACATTTTTGATGGTGTGGAACGCATCAAAAGAAAGGAAAGGACAAATTGTTGCCACGCGTTAATTTCACATTTTTGACTGCATGGGTAGTGTTCTTAATCTTTTCCATTTGTTTTCAAAAATTAATGCAACTAAATTATTACATTAAGAACAAAATAATTTACAAGAGTCCATAAAAATCATACATCGAGTTATTTAAATTTTTATCTTACTTTGCATTAATAATATCTTAAAACTAATTCGAACTCAAAATAAGTCAAGCATTTTTTTTTTTGATAGAAAATAAAATAAAATTTCCCAATCAGCATAACATTACGCTTTGTTCGATAGAACTGAATATGAAAGAGAAAAGAAAAATCGTGTTGCAATCAACTGCAAAATGCCCCTTGTTTATAGATTCCTTAGTAATAAAACCTTTTCATTGGTTGAATAGTCAGATCTCTTTCTATTTTTAACAATCCGATTTAATATTATTCATAATATACGGTTGTGAAGTAGTTTACATTTTAAACACAGTGAATTGTCGTGATTTTGAATTCAGCGAACCGTACTACCAACACGCTTTGATGAATGGTAACGTCATGCATTGATTCAGTACAAAAGATTTACATTCTTCTCTTTCTTAGTAATTCATGAACATTCAAGATGAAGATGTGTATTAGATCTCAACAATTTTTATTTGCTTTTGTGACATAAAATGACATTACCAATCTTTGAAGGATATCATTACTTCCATATTTTCTGCTTCTTGTTTCCTTATTAATTTGTTCGCTATTCCTTTTACTCGGGTTCACCGCTTCATTTTACTTGCATGAATATCTCTCGTATATCCGACAGAAGTATTCTAAAGATATGCAATAGCTCAGCAAATATCATTTCAAAGAGTGGCAATTTCTATTGTGCCTTGACAACATTCATAATTCACTAAACAAGGTGAAAATAAAAAACTCTATTGTACAAAAATTAATGCTCTCAGATTTCATCGATGTACGTTCACCTTACTTTTAGCTAAAAAGAAATGAAAATTCATAATTAGAGAACTATACAACATGATAAAAGATAGTTTAGATTTTTACGTCAATAAAAATGATGGCTAACATTATTAATAATGCATCATCACTGATTATGAGAAAGTCTTTATAATCAGAAAACACATTTACTACTAGTAACTATTCTTCTGTATTTTCTCCAATTATTTAGATTGCTTGTGTTTGCGTATTAATCTATATTTAAAGACAAAATTGATGTCGTGCTCTAAATTATTCACTGATGTCTTCATTCCTTTTCTCTTTTTTCTCTCATATTTTCATTAGGGAATTTACAGTAGCAAAATTATATGCAATATAAATAAAAAACAATTCATTTCTTTCGTGATGCATTTAACTACCTCGCAGAAAGCATTAACTATTCATGTGATTGCATTTCTGTTCCCCTTTATTTCTGTAAAATAATTTAGAGTTTCTTTAGCTTATTCATGCAACTTTAGATTAAATATCACTAACAGCATTTTACTTTTGTCATATAAATATATATATTATATCACTTCTAAAAGAAAAATACTCTGTAACTCAGCATTTAAAGTCTTAGTCATTCTACAGATGTTCATCAGATTTATATAGATGATAGACGCCTTAGTTATTTTGAAATATCTCAAAATTATTATTCTTATAATAACGCTTATATTTGTGTTTATTTACATAATTATAAGTGTTTTCCTTCGACATCATATTCGTGTTTTTATATTGAATGTATGCTTGACATCAATGTTTGTTGATATCTATTGGCTTATCGATATTACATTTTTACAACATTATGTCGCATATAAAGTTAGTGATAGCATATGTACTATTATCTTCTATATACGAATGGTATGTAGTTGTCAAACATCATTTTCATTGGTTGTAGTTTCTATAAATCGACTGTTATATATGACTACGTCTGAAACAGTATTTTTCAAAACGAATGCATGGGCAATGATTTCCATAGTTAGTCAATTCATGTTGGGTTTTATTGCACCGTTACCATTATTTTCTAAAAAATTGTCGGTAAGCATTCTAATATATATGAGTTAAACAAATTGAATTCTATCGTATTCTTTTCTTAGTTGAATATGTCTCATCAAATTGATATTGTTTAGATTTGTGTTACACCACAATGGATGCCGTACTATAAAATGTGTGTTATTGTTCTTCTACCATCATTAGTGTCACTTATTGCAAACAGTGTCATATTCAATCTTGCATGCGTATCTACCACGCAACTACAACTACATCTTCAAACGAAGTCTAC